AATCATAAGAAGTCTTTGGAATCCATAGCACCACAAAAGTCACCAGAAAGAATTGTATCAACATATAAAACATATCTTTCCTAAAATGCATCCTTCCTTCTGGCTTAGATCAATATTGTCTCTTCCAGTGGCCAATAATAAGCCAGGATGCATCCAGCAACATGCTGGTAGTAAATACTTAAGCAACTGACACTGTGAGGACATAGTTATCATTGCTGGGGGTTAACAAGTTCTGGGGCTTAAATATTTCCTTCTCAGCTAATTTTGAGATACAATAGGGGAGAATGAAAACACAATTTATTCTAGTGAGCAACATCACTGGGCGCACCCCACATTAAATCCGGAGAATTTATGCAGTATTTTTCCAGGATTAAAAAAAGTAACATTTCTTGCACAGGAAGAATGTAAAGATCTGATTACATATGCTTGATTGTTCCTTGTCAACTAAAATACTGCAATATTTTGAAAGAACATATCTTAACTACATTATACATACGCAGGGTAGAAACCCACCCTGTCAGTCTCCCTTGCTTTGCTTAGGTATATTTTCTCTGTACTTGTCAAAATAGGTTGTGCATATGTGCATAAGACAGAGCAGGTACTTGGCACAGCAACGTTTTCCATTTGGTGCCGAAGCTTGCCTCTGTTTAAGATGCATTATAGAAGCTTTGCTACTTAGTATGTTCGGAAGCCATCTCTCCAGAGTTTCACAGAGATGTTCTGAACAGTAATTAGCTCTCAGCAACACCATGACCAACATGATAAGCCGTATCTAAAAATGAACTGCAATATAAGGAAGAAAATTCAAACCACATTTTAAAATGTTGAAACTGTGGGTTGGAGAGATAATTCATCCTTCCCATCCGAGTGCCTAATCCCATGTGCTTCCAAGGCCACCTAAATGCTTTCACTGGACAATTAATGCCAAGACTGTTGAAGAGATGCAGAGAGCTGAGCTGGAGGTGAAGTGGAGAATGTTCCGTAAGTTAGCCAATAATGACTATAGTGTTCATCGCTCTGAGATTTTTGAGTAAAAAAGATTTAGATGGACTTTGTTGTTCTTGTTGGTTTTTTTTTTTTTTAAGAGGATTCATCATTAAAAGCTGGCTGCTCTCTTTGCTTCAAATTTGGAAAGAGGAGCCAGTAATGTGTAACCCCGGAGAGCAGCTAGAGATGGTTAACCAAAAGTGGAAGAATGGAGCTTCGATCCCGGGAGGTAAAGGGAGAATGATGTGATTGTAGAAACCCTGGCAAGGAGAGGGAGGTCACATCTGCACAAGCTGCACTCTGTTTCTCAGAACAATGCAGTGGAGTCTCCAGGATGAAAACAGAGGCATCTAGGACAGCAGCTCTCTGTGGGACCTGCAAACAGCGGCTGAATGCATTGCCCAGAAATAAGACACAGGAATAAAGGCCGATGCGATTGTTCAACCATGTGCTGCGGATTATTAAATCTAAGCACTTAATCTGCAAAGGAGTGTAGTATTACAGTGACTATGTTGGTTACCATGAAGTGTGTGACATCTGAATGGGCTTGACAGGAAAAGGAAAACTGTACTCTGTAATTTAGAAACCTAAAGCTACTTATTTCTTCTAGGAACACACATTTTATTCAATTAGTTTTTTCCATTACTTATTTATAGTCAATGTGTGAAACATCCATCGTGCCAACAAAAATGATATACCCTCCAATAAAACTGGATTTGTTCTATATATCTAAGTGTCTATAACTATATAATTTCTTGATATCTATATAAATCATAACTCAGGAAATGAATTGCCAAATTAAAAGCAATTTTTATAGTCAAAACCTAGATTTCTAGTCTTACTTTATTTCCAATATGTTTATTTTAAGGAAACTTCTTGAAGCATGTATAAAATAGTCCTCTGTTTGGAACTCAGCAAATTCTCTGGGAAATTCAGAGACACTGTGTGTGAGAACTTTATCATTGCTATATAAGGCCATTGTCTTTTCAGATAAGGAAAGCAAAGGCCGAGTAACTGAGTTATGGTGACTCTGACGTGAGGGTTTGGGGAAGGTTCAATGTGCCAGATGCTGCTCTGTCAGTACTCCACAGGGAGTGGACTGACACGCCCAGAAAACCATCTCAGGAAAAGCCCATTTGGACTAAGTTTCTCGCTCCCGTCCTCTCCCTCCCCCACGCCATCTCAACAAGGCTTTATTAATAGCCCTATTCCATTTTGGGCTGACCATCCTTCTGCTTCTGCCTCTGGAGTGCTAAGAACACAGGTGTGTGTGTGTGTGTGTGTGTGTGTGTGTGTGTGTGTGTGTGTGTGTGTGTGTGTGTGTGTGTCACCACGCCCAGCAGCAAAGCTTATCATTAACAATCCTTTCTCTCCTCTTTGGACCGCCCTTCTGTAGCAAGGTTTCTCTGTTGCTCCCACTCAAAGCCATGGAATCAATTTTGCCACATCTCCTTCACAGAGGAACTTACATTGCAAACAAATGTGTTAAAAGAAAAATTCCTAGTATCAGTGGAATTTTTGGCACAACTATCATTTTGCGCTAGTTAATTTGGGATTGGGGATAATTAAAGCTTAGACAAGTATAATTCATGATTTTTTTTAACACAAAATTAATGCTAGAACTGCAGTGAAAACACACAGGCCTTCCCTCTCGTGTATTTTACAATACCAATCCACACCGCTCTGAGGTTTTAGCTTCATGTAACGTGTTTCTGAGTACATGTGTCCTGAGGCCAGAGAGGCTAAGTTCAGATCAATGCAGAATCCCCTAACAGTTAGCTTCACTGTCATTTGGAAGAGGGGATGATAACCAAATGCCTTATGTTTACAACCAAAGGACAGGTTACATGTTTTCCCATGAGAATGAAACCCTAAGGGTGACATGCACTGGCATGACACCCGCCGGCTTGTCAGCACCTACACCTAAGCACAATTGGTGTTCTCTTCACTTCTCCTTTTCTTGTTCTGCATGTTAGAAAAGAGCGTGGGAAGAGGCGGAAGAATTACAGCATGAGAGTAACTCACTGTCTCATGTGGGGAAGACTGCTGGGGCTTGCAGTTCCTTCAAAGAATCAGGGGCACAGCCACCATTTTAAGTTGTCTGGCTCTCAGATCTGTTAGGATCTATTGCACACACCAGCAAGCCCTGGAAAAGGAATGTCCTTCCTAGTTCCTAGATGGAACAATCAATTAATCTGATAATAGGAAGGAGCAAAATAATGTCAACCAGTTTCCTACTCGGTGGGGTGTTTTGTTTTGTTTTTTTATTCCTATGTGATCCTTTTATCTCAGCTATGTTCTGATGATTTGATCCCATTGGGTGTTTCTGAGGATTCATTTAACCATATGTGTAAAGTACTTAGCAAATAAAAAACACCTAGTGATTGGCAGTCATTACCACTGATTTACTAATATTCGAACTAGGGGAATGATGTCATCTTTGGGGAGGTAGTGGAGTTAGTTTGCAGAGAAAAGCTGGAGTTCAGAAACAAAGTTAATAATCATTGCTGAATAAGTGCACAAAAATCAGTCGGAAGGACAAAAGCAACCATGATAAGGACCTTTCATGAAACATCCAAAAATACTGGCAAAACAATTTGTGACATCCTGGACACTGAGTTATGTCCAGCTCAGTTTAACTTACTGTCTTTACATGCAATTGAGAATGGGCATATAAATGAACAGGAAAATGTAGAAAAGAAGATATTTTGAGGTATATGTCACACCTGTGCTAACTGATTTCATAAATTAAAGGCATAGGTGACAAAGATTCTTATATTGCTTCAGGAACTTAATGAATGGGTTTATGGAGACTACTCCCAAAGTATTTTCTTTGTAATTAGATATCAATAGGAGAATGTTTTTATACATTAATAGGTGATTAATCAAGGCATTGTCTGCATTTTGTTTTTCTCCAACCTAGCTGCTGTGCCCACACCTCTTGATAACATAAACGTCCTCCAACTCCCAAATCCAAAGAAGACCTTGCTATCTACCCTCACCACAACATGTGACCTTTCTTGTGTGTTTTTTTCCTTTCCACATGATAGAAAGCAAGCTATAGTGTGCCACCTATACCCATTCATCTGCAAGCCAGATCCCCAGGGCTTCCAACTACTCTGTCCTTGTAAACCCAGCTCACCAACCAGAACTGCCCATCTTACCTCCTCCTCAATTCCTGTCTCCTCTGGAACATATTTTTTTCTTTCCTTTATGTTCAGTCCATTTATCCTACACTCACCTCCCTCCTGGCCAGCTCTATTAGCCCCTTCACTGGTCTGACTGGATACCCCTTCTCTCTTAACATGACCTTCTTGACCCTCACACTATTATCAAATAATTACATGACTGTCCTAACAGTTCCAACCTGTGCTTAAAACTTACGGTAACTTTTGATTTTCTGAAGAGGAAGAGAGACAAACACGTTAATGTGGTTCCACAGCTTCCTTCATGCAACTCACCTGCCTCAGATCCAGCAAATAGCCCTTGTCATCCTCTGTGCCTAGTCACTATCTCAGATCCTCCTTTCCCTTCTTTCAGGAGCACTCCTTGACTTCTTGACCACATCTGTTTCCTGTCAAAGACTTTCATAACACCTTACAGCTTTCTTGGATAGCCCTGAATGAAATTTTGACTCAATTTCCTCTGACCACTTGATTGATATTTTCTTCTCCTACTAAGATGCAAGTTCCCATAGACAGGGAGCCATGTCTATTTTTTAGCTTCCTGCTAGCCCCAGTCCAAGCACACTCATCAAGGTGTGTACGATGTAACAATATCCAGCAGGAAATACTTGTAGAATAGATGAATAAATAATGTCAGATAAGCAGCCCATGAAGAGAGTATACTTACTGCTTTATAAAAAGAAGACAGAAAAGAAGGGAAACTGGGGAAAAAGACGCCGCGGGTAGCTTGCCTGTCATGTGAAACAGAGTCTGGTCCATGAATAAAAACGGGTAGCTCAGATGCTCTAAGAATATGAGATTTTGGCAAACAGCAAACGAAAGTTTCACCTTTAGCTTTAGAGAGTTGAGCTTCTCCTCCCGGAGGTGTTCTCTCAGCATCTCCCGGTGCAGCCGTTCCTGCTCCCTTGCAAACTCGCCCAGGGTGTACTGGCGCACGCTGTTGTGACGGCTGGACATGCCCAGAGTGCTGCCCCCCTGGCTGGGCACACTGGTGAAGCCCTGCCTCCTGGTGAAGTAGTACACCGTGACACAACTGAAGTGCACACTCTTCGTCCTCAGCCGCTTCTCTCTTTTGAGGATGGAGGACGCTGGAAGAGAAAGCAGCGGGTCAGTGAAGCCCAGGGCAGCAGCTCCCAGATGAGACCAAGAAAACACCCTGGATCCTGAGTCTACTGAGGATCAGAATGTTCGGAGCCGTGCCAGCTTAAAAACTACTGCATCCCAGAGTTGGCAAAAGGGACTTTTAATTTCCTTTCTTACAATTTTTTTTTCTAGGCATAGTAGAGTAGATTTTAAATGTTTTTGTAATGGCTGTTGAAGCAAATTTCTGGAGAGTTGCCAATTATTTTAGGAATTAGCAGCAGAATTTAGTTCCTCATTTTCTCGAATCCTGTAAGCTTTAGTTTTCTGGATTTCACACAGGTAATATTTTATCATAACATGTAACCCTCCATACTTTGGGTATCATTTTTAAGAGTATGTCTGCATTAAAAAGAAACCTATCAAATAAATGAGAGGAATGTTCTAATTTCTATAGAACAGAAAGGTGGTTATAGGGCATCAAAACTTATTCGATATTTTATAGAGAATAAGAATAGAGACACTGAAGGGCTCTAAGACAAAGACGTGGCAAATGCTTATGGAAATGCTGTTTATAGTCAATGGATAATTGCAAACCATGTAGATACATGTATCGAAAGAACTGGCTGTGCATTGTGGATATATACAGTTGTCATGTCAATAGAAATATATTGCTCATAACACTGAAAAGATAAAATAACCCGAAGTAATTAAAATTCACTTATTGACACTACTTAGACATTTCAACAACTTAAATCTAACATAGCTTTCATTAGGTAAAATAGTGTACCCCTATAAATAACACTATACACAATACTATTATAAAACAAATATTGTGAAACACTATAACAACTATTATAAAACAGATAATTAAAAATTCCATAGACTATTTCAGGACTTCTTTCTCTTCATACTATTTTTTATTTAACAAAATCTGTATGCTTTTGTATACAACAGGGATGTTACACCACGGAATTGCCAAATCAAATTAATTTATGTATGCATATCCTTGCATATTTTATGTGTTGATGATTAGAACCATTATTATTAGTTGCGGGACAGAAGAATGGACTGAGCAATGAGGAGGGTTTGTGTACACACTAAAACTGAGCAAAAGAGAGTCATATGTTACCAATAGGACCTCCCAAAGCTGGACGGTCTATTTGGCTGAATCCTTTTATTCCACAGTAAACCAGCTTAGACTTAGGGAGTAATAATGAAAGTACTCTGCCTTCAAGACTCATGAGGGTTGATATGAGGTGAGACTGGAATCTAAGTGTTCCTAGAAGGGAGAAAGTGAAGGCTAATGTGATGTTGAGAGCCACAGATGTCATTTGTCAAAGTGACTTTGTTTAGTATAATTACTGTCCAAAATAAACTTAAACCAAAGTTAAAAAGCCCAGCTATTATGTCATATAATAAGTTGACTTACGACTTGGAAAGAAAGAACATCACTCAAGAGAAAGAAATGCATTCATAGTGTTACAGGTCTGATGTCTATGTCCTTCACACTCAGATATGTTGAAATCCTTTAGAGTATAAGCCTTCTGGACCTTATAGATCAGGATCCTTATAGATATAGTCAGATGAAAATGAAATCATTAGTCACCCTAATCCAATAGGATAGGTGGTCTTACAAAAAAAAGGTGAAATGGAGACATAGACGCAGAAAGAAGGGAGATCACGTGAAAAGACAGAGAGGAATGTCATAGGAAGGTGAATACAGACACTGAGTTACACTGCCAACAACCAAGGATGCCATCAAAATTAGAAGTACGTAAGGAAGAACTCTTCCTTGTGATTTTTAGAGGGACTGCCACCCAGCCATCACTTTGACCTCCAGAACTGGAAGAAAAGAGATTTGTGTGGTTCTCAGCCACTCTCTTCATGGTGCATTTCTATGGAAGCTGCAGGAAAGCATGGATGCTCATGAAGAAAAAGCAGATGGTGAATGAGAAAGCCTCAGACAGCGAGACAACATCGTTGCACGTGGACAGGAAGGCTGGTGTGATGTATCTCATTTTGTAGGTTCATTTACGTCATGAACACTGATAGAGGGCGTACTATGTGCCAGCACTTTCTAGATAGGATACAGGTGTGGAAAACCTGGACCATGATACAACAAAGGGACTCAGAGTTTAGACAGTATGAGAAGGACATTACTGTGAGAATTCAATTTTCCTATCTACCCTCTTTCCTTTAAAAAAAAAAAAGCCTTTTATTAATTTTGTGGGGTGGTGGGTAGGGCATCTTTTCGTCAGGCCTGGTGGCAGGTTCCTTAGACTCTTGCCTTCTTTTCTATTATTTTACCTCCTCAGAAGAGATTTCCAGAAAGTAAATACTTTCACGTGTCTATATTACTTAACTACTTATTTGCATATCCTTGCAAATTATTTATTGCAACATCCTTGTATTCCTGGCAGTAGAGACAGTTTTTCACTTTGATTGAAAGATGTTGCTGGGCTTCATAACTCTAAGCTTAAATCATCTCAAAACAGAGAAAACTGTTAAGCTGTAAGAGATCCCCACATAAAGCAAAATTTTGCCTCCGGATCAGAAACCCTCATCTGTCACTGACTGACAGCAGCTGAAGCAGGACCCTCTGGAATTTAGGAGAAACCTTCCACCTTTTTGCTCTGATTATCATTAAAATGGTACCCTGAAGACATAATCCTTAGGAGCCATAACTGTAGAGACCAGGGGAAGTGTTTAATGTACTCATTTAAGGTTATTATCATAAATACCTCTAGCAATTTGTGGCTTATATTTTTAGAAAACAGTGGTTCTCTAGACAAATTACTTTTTTAACAATGTATTCTTCACCCATTTGGATGTACCTATTATGTTACCCTTTCCCCAAAGCTAAGTTAACTACCCTGTTTGGAGACCTTTGTGAGACTGGCAATGTGGGAGAGGACAGACACTCTTCAGCTGTGTCTCTGGGGAAGACTGACACTGTAAAAGTACGTTAGGAATCCTGCTGCCTCCTGTATGCTAGGGCCTACAATGACACATTTGCTGACTGGTTGCTTTAAGATTATAAACAGCACTGTAAAGACAATGATCTAAAAGCTGATGAAATAAATGGCTTTGAAATACTCAAAGTTCAATCCAATGGAGATTTCTGCGCGTTTCTGGAAAGTTAGGAGACATCCAGGACCCTCTCCCGATGATTAAATCAGAGCCCCAGCATGGGCCATTAGGAAGTATCACTTGCCTCCAGGCTTCACTATGACTACCTTCACAGGATGGAATCATTAAATAAAAGAATTTGTGTTCTTCAAGCCTGGAAAAAGACTAGATTCACTTAGCATATCTGCCTCAGGGAATCTGAACACCCCGATAGACCGCCATAGTCAATTGTGCCCTTTACAGAATGAATGAACTCCACTTTGTGTGTCTATAGAGTTTGTATCAGCTTTACTGCAGTGAGGTCAAGAGCAAGAAAAAGAAAGACGAGAATGTGGCTTTTAATACTGCTTTCAAAAAAGGCAGTTTTCATATTCCACACCAATTTGAAGCATCTTTCAGTTTATTTCCTTTCATCCAACCACAATTGCCATCCCAATATAAAAGCATCTAAGCACAATGATGCCACGTCTACCTCCCAGAAGACAGCTCTTGGGAGCACCCAGGAGCCTGTGTAACAGAGGCTCTCTCAAAACCAAAACCATGAAACCCCAAAGATGGGAAAATGGTTGAACTCACAACATCAAGGTAAGAATACAGATAAATAACAGAATCTACAACATGTTATGTAAAGGAAGAATTCATAAATGCAATGAATTGAAAAATGTAAACCCAAACCTAAGAATTAGATCACCACTGACCATGTTTAAAAGAAGCAATTGCCCTGACAAATACTGTACATTTCCCGACCCCATACAAAACATGAGTTAAAACAAACAAACAAAAACTAGGCATTGTGGCACATACCTGTAATCCTAGCACTTAAGAGGTGGAGGTAGGATGACCAGAAGTTCAAGGCTACCCTGGTTTACATAGCGAGTTTCAGGCCAGCCTGAGATCCTGCCTCAAGGAAAAATGGCTGGGGTCACGTGAAAGGAAAAGAAAGAAAGAAGGAAAAGAAGGAAAGAAAGGAAGGAAGGAAGGAAGGAAGGAAGGAAGGAAAGAAGGAAGGGAATGATTATTGTCTATAGTCATACTACATGGAACATACATAATCTTGTCAGAAGATGAGCAAATCATTGTAGGAATGTTGGTAAGTAAGTCAGTCAATGAAAGTTGAATTATAGTAGACTCTAAGAAATTTCAACTGACTTTGTTCTACTCCATGAGTTGTGGGAAGAGGGAACACAAAGTTAGGTGGGTAGGGAGTTGGGGGAGAAAGATGAATATGATCCCTGTATGAAATTCTCAAAAAAAAAGTCAAAACATTACTTTAAAAAAAAATCAAAACCACTCATCCTTATGTGCTGGAATACATCCTCAAGACTACAAGAGTTAGTCTACCTCACTTATCAGTTTTATTTTTTTCCTGATTAATTTAATTTATAATTAAGCCATTCATCAACACCACTAGTATGTGTCCTTCCACTGATGATTTCTGCCCACACAGTGGTCCAGATGAACCTCTGGACCGTAGTGTCCATGACAAGACAGCTCTGCAGAGCAAATGCTCTTAAAGCAACGTGGGCACTGTCATCAGACTGACTGTCTTGGTCCTTTTGGTGTCAATAACCATCAACCAAGTCTTGCTGGAGGAGGAAACAGGAAGTGAAGCTGTGTATTTTGACATTAAATTTGGCACATGGAAGTTGAAAGCTCACGGTCCAGTCTTATGTTAAACAAATGGAAAATTTAACTACATCTTTTAGGTACATCATCAACAATATACTTTTATCTCCTGTGCTTGATACTCAAGAGAAAAATGCTAGCAAACTGTTAAATCCACATGTTGAGCTTATTTTTAGATTTTTGGGCAAATCTGGTAGAAACAAAATGAAACTGCTAAATTCATCTGGGTTGTTTGTTGTTGTTAGAAAAA